GAGACTAGAACAAAGCCATACACTAGAGATTTAGGGTATATTTTGATCTGTTAGAAGAAACTGTATCTCAAAATTTCAAAGAGAGAACAACTTATGTATATATGCCAAAAATAAGGGTAACTACTGTGAAGGGATAGACTCTGACTCTAAAAATGAAAAATAAAAATGTTTTTTAAAACAGGATTGATAAGATGTGGCTTGAAAAAGGAAAAAAGAAAAATTAAAAAAAAAACAGTAAAAAAAAATTTAACTTTGAAAGACTAAAGAATCAGGGGGAGAAAGCCATGAATTCTATGTGCAATATTCCCCTAGCACTGGAGTTTTGCCCTTCTCATTGATCGGTAAACTTCGTCTTGGCTGGCTGTTCTTGCTGATCTTCTGGGGGAGGGGCCTGTTCCTGTGGTTCCCAAGTATCTTTGCCCTAGAGGGAATTGCTCCGCCCTTGCCGGTCCAGGCTAAGTAATCTGCTTGGGTTTGCTCCCGGGAGTTTTTGTTCCCTGCATGCTTTCCAAACAGCTTTGGAGGACAAGAGTGAAAATGGCGCCTCCCAGTCTCAGCCCCAGAGGAGCTGAGAACTCGGGGCCCTGCTCCTCAGTGAGCCCCAGAGAAAAGCTGTCAATCACTCCCATCTCCCTGGTCTTCTGCTGCACTCCGTGCTCACCTGGCCTGTGACTGAGCGTTTCTATCTCTGGCGCACGACCCTGTGTGGAGTCTCCAAACCCAGCAGATCCCTGTGGTGCGCTCCTGCGCTGCTCCTCCCGGGGGAGGAAGGGAAGTCTACCCAGATCTGCTGCTTGTTGGGTCCCTGCTGGAGGAGCAGTGACCCGACTGTGCCGTGGATCATGGTTTATGGCAACCTCGAGCTGAGAGCCCGCTCCTCGGCTCCGTCTCTGCAGCCGGCTTCTCCTCTCCAGTACCTGGGAGCTCTGCTGCACTCAGGCACCCCTGGTCTTTCTGTGACCCCGAGGGTCCTGAGACCACACTGTCCCGCGAGGGTTCCACCCCCCGCTTAGCCACTGGAGCGACGTCCCTCAGCGGAGCTGACCTCTGAAAGTTCCGATTTTGTGCTCCGCGGCTCTAGCACTTGCCAGAAGCTGCCGACGGAGGCCCCCTCCCCCGCCATCTATCCTCCCAAATATCACCTCGGATTCACTTCTCCGCACGTCCTACCTTCCAGAAAGTGGTCGCTTTTCTGTTCAGAGAGTTGTTGCTATTCTTTTCTTCCATCTCCTTTTGAGTTTGTAGGTGTTTAGAATGGTTTGATCCCTATCCAGCTGAATTCCTGGGACCAGATGAAATCCAGGTCTCCTACTCCTCCGCCGTCTTGCTCCTCGCCTATCTTATGCATTCTTACCATGCACACAAAAAAAGAAAATGGTCACTATGATGTTAACTGGCCTGATTATGTCAATTATTTTACTATATATATGTATATATATATATCAAAACATCAAGTCTTTAAATATATATAATTTTCATCAGTTACACCTCAATAAAGTGGAAAAATGATTTTAAAAGTTCAGAATAATTTATGTAAGTTTTTTGTGCTTTTAAGTGCTCTTTTTCTTTTTTCTAGTCAGAATCAGCTGTTCCAGATTTAATTCCTCTTTATCTAGAAATGTGTATTGTGGTGGATAAAGCTTTGGTATGTATTTTTCTTTTTCTTTGCTTTTAAATATTTGGTGTAAATGTATAATTATCCCTAGCTAGAAAGGAATTTAAAAATTCCAATCTTTTTACTACATGTCATAGAGAGAACAGTGGAAAAATTTGCAAAACTGAAAAACCAAATACTCAAAATTACATATTTCTATTAGAAATGTTTAATTTGAAATCTTTACATAAAAATCCTGAATAACAAAATGATTTTTAGGCTGGTGTTTCACATCTTTAGGAACTCATTCCATCTACAATATTTTTTTAATGGTCATATTTTAAGTGAAAATCTTTAAGCTTTTAGTTTTTGTTTTTAGGGCTTTTGAAGAGCAATATGTAGCCTAGGGAGTGTTTTGTCCTATAAAGTTTTTATTGGCACAAAAGTGATGACAGTATAACTATGAGAACTGCTTACATTAATGTATCAAGATTTTTTTTTTTGAGCAGTTTGTAAAGGTTCACCTGTTCTAGTGTATTGTTTACCTGGTATAAACATATTTCTAAATCCCTGATTTAGAAATTTAAAGGTCCTATTTGAGGACCTTTAAACTTCAGGACCTTGGAATGAGAACTTAGTTTGCACCCAATCAGGTGCGGCTTTATTTCCTCCATATTTCAGAGATTTCAGAAACCGGATAAAAATATACTTTCCAGGTTTTGTTCTGATGATGAGCATTTGATTGTCACACCTCTGGAATACTACAGAGAATATGAATCAAACACATTATCTATTCTATTTGTGAATTGTAGAGCTTGTCAGGAAGCCAGAGTTGAGATTCAGAGACAGATAGGATTTAGAGAAGAGTAAGAAAATACTCGACTTATTAGAATAGAGGGGAAAAGGACAAAGGGAACATTTAAGAGAAAATTAAGATATTTATAATAATGATGACTAAATTTCCAGGGAATATTCTGGATTATAAAAATCATTTTTTTTTCAGAATTATGTTACAAACTTTGAGAGTTGTTTTAAAGCTTCTTGTCCAAATTGTCAGGTTTGCCAGGCATATGATACTGATTAAACTTCCCTTTTCTATGTTTTTATACATATTTACATATTCTTTAATAAAACAAACATTGAGCCTGCTGTGGCATCTGTGTTACTAGATGCTGGACATATAAAGAAGAACAATAGTGATACTGTCTTCAATGACTTCCCAAATTTTAAATCCATAATTGCAGTCTAGTGAATTCAGTGCTATGCTTGAAGGAAGCATGTGGGAGTAAAAAAACATGGTCCAGTGATGGAGAAAGACATGGAAACACAGCTATAACTGGGGGTAATATAAAAGCATGCAAGTAGGTATTTTAAAATGTGTTTTATTATTACTCATTTATGATGGGGCCAACAGATCAGGAGATGAAATTGCTATTGGAGAGATAGTTTGTTATTCACAGTTCCCAAAAGGAGAGAGTATGCCATATCCTGCAGAAGCCACGTGGGGAAGTAACAAAATAGGTAAGGAGACAGGGGGAGCAAGGGGAAAACATGGGCAGGAGACCTGATTATGATTTCTGTGGGAAAGAACACTTGAGGCAAAGTAAACAGGTTTATGGTTGTCTAGCTTGAATAATTTCAGTGGGTTCTGGGATGTGAGGGTTGTCTCTAGTTGGCTCTTTGGGTGATTAGGGCAGGGGAATAATGGCATGGCATGGAGTGTGAGATTCTGATAAAGGAGGTGGTTGGGGGATGGTTTGTGGATTAGTTAGTTTGGATAATGAGGTGAGGGTGGGGCCAAGGAAGACTTAGTGCAAAACTTTTCCTTGCAAAGGCACATAAATATGAGAGAAGGTTCTTTAAAAAGAAACAAAACTGCAGGTTTAGTATGATTAATACACAGGGTTGAAGAAGGAAAATAGAGATAAATTGAAGAACTGATACAATATTTGGATTTTATCCTATTTATTCTATTTTATCCTATATCCATTAAAAAGATTTTAAACAGGGGAGTGACGGGTTCATATTTTCATTTTAGAATCATCATTTTTGTAATAGTGTAGGGACTGGATTGCTGATGGGATAGTTGTAGACATTTAAGAGACCATTCCAGTAATCAAGTCAAATGTTTACTAGTTAGTAGTATTAGTAATAGAAAAAAACATTTTTTTAAAGTTACTGCTGAGGTTGAATTAGAAGGACTTAAATTGATTTGATTTATCCATTCACTTAATAAATTTATTGAGCATCCTGTAGATGCCAATTAGTATTCTGCTTTTGAGGATACTTCTGTGAACACAACAGAAAAAGTTCTGCTCTTATGGAACACGCAGTATCATAAATGTGGGAGGTCATAGATGATTATACTTTAATTAAAGTAATGGAAAGGTAGGTAGGACCAGATTTTTGAGGGAGAATGATGAGCTTCATTTTACATATGTTTAATTTGAGGGTCCTGTGGAACATGCAAGTGGTGCTATACTTAAGAGATTTGATTTATAGATATGGAATTTGACATTGGCACATTCCACAAAGCTTATTTAGATTTCAGCAGTTGTATATACACTAATTTGTGTGTGTGTAGGTTTATGCACTAGGATCACATATGTAGCCTTGTGTAATCATTGTCACAATCAAGACTCTCAAAAGAACCATCACTACAAGACTCTCTTACATTATTTCTTCATAGTCGCATCCATTTCTCCCTACTTCCCAGGCTTCTTAACCTCTGGCAGTCACTAATCTGTTCTCCATTCCTTGGTTTCAGGAATATTGCATAAATGTTATCTTGTAGTATATATCCTTTGGAGATTTTTTTAACACAGCATAATTTTCTTAAGGTTTATCCAAACTGTTTCATATATCAACAGTTTAGTCAGTTCCTTTCTACTAATGATCAGTATTCCATGATATGGTTGTACTACAGTTTGTTTAACCGGTTAACCCCGAAGGACATGTGAATTGTTTCCAGCTTTGGGCTAATAGGAATAAAATTGTTATGAACATTTATGAACATGTTTTTTGTGAGCATCAGTTTTTATTTCTTTAGGATAAATGCCCAGGAGTGTGGGATGCCTGGGTGGCTCAGTTGGTTAGGCATCTGACTCGTGATTTTGGCTCAGGTCACCATCTCATGGGTTGTGGGATTGAGCTCCATGTTGAAGATTCTCCCTCTGTCCCTCCCCCCGTTTGTTCTCATTCTCTCTCTCTTGAATAAATCTTAAAAAATACAAATAAATGCCCAGGAGTGCAATTGCTGGGTCATATGGTAAGTATATTATTTGTTTTGAAAAAAGCTGCTAAACTTTCCAGAGTGGCTGTATGATTTTACATTCCCACCAGCATATATGAGTGATCCAGTTTATATTCATTTTTTAAATTTGTTACTATCTTATTTTGAACTGTTCTAACCCCAAAGCAGCATCAAATTTCTGAGAGTAGATGGAGAGTATATTTCAAACATACTACATAACAGATTGTATTTAAATTTGAAATTTTGTTTTTCAGTATGATTACTTGGGCTCTGATAGCATGATAGTAACAAATAAAGTCATCGAAACTATTGGCCTCGTAAATTCGGTAAGTATTTTTCTTTTCATACTAGTTAGAAAAATTTATACTAGTTTTGAAATTATAATTTCCATTAACTTCACTTGGCATTTCTGAATAATTAAGCTATCTATACAAAACTGAGTATGGATTTGTCAAAGCATTGAATTAATTTCGTGGTTATTATAAAATAACATAAACATTAATTTTTCATGTATTTATCTCTTGTTTTTAGATGTTTGCCCAATTTAAAGTTACTGTTGTGCTGTCATCGTTGGAGATGTGGTCAGACAAAAATAAGATTTCCACAGTTGGTGAGGCAGATGAAGTATTGCGTAGATTTTTAGAATGGAAAAAGTTCTATCTTACTCTGAGGCCTCATGATGTTGCATATTTATTCATGTAAGAATAATGTTTCAATATTCTTAGAAAGAAAACAAAGATCTGAGATAATGATGTAGCTTAATTTAGGGAATTTTTATTCATTGGTGACTATTAATACATTATTATGTGCTTCATTCAGGCCTCATATTCTCTTTGTTTGTCACTAAAACTTGCTAAAATTTATTTCTGTGCTTGTTAGCTTTTTACTAATGAGGAGACTGAGATTTCTAGAGGTTAAACAATTTCAGGATTCTTGGATCTAGTGGTGTCCTTCCTGTTTGAACCCACAGGTTTTAACCCCAGAGCCCATAATCTTAACCACTACCTAAAAAAATGGGATTTATCTTATGAAGTTTATATTTTTGTTATGGAGTTGGATCAAAGGCTTGGGAAAGTAGGTTAAGAACAGTTTACCCTAATGAATTTTCTGCATTATTTTTAAATATTAGTTTTCTTTTTTGTTTTGTTCTAGTTTTTATTATGGAAAATTTCAAGCATAATAGCAGTTGAGAAAGTAAAATAATGAATCGTCATGTACCTTACATATCCATAAAACAATTATCAGCTTATGGCTAATTTTTTTCTTCTTCTCACCCCCTCAAACTCAGTTATTTTGAAGAAAATCCTATGTGTCATATTATTTACCTATCTCTGAAAGATAAGCATTCTTTAAAAAGTATTCACAATACCATTATCACACCAAAAAATGGCAATTCCTTAAAGTCATCATTGTTTAGTCAGGGTTCAAATTTTGCATATTGTCTAAAATATTTTATTTTATATTTTACAGTTGGTTGGTTCAAATCTGTATCCATGCAAGGTCCACACATTGCATTCATTTGATATGTCTCTTAGTCTCTTTAAATCTGTGGATTTCATCTCTGTCATATTTTCTTTCCAGTTTATTTGTTGAAGAAATCAATATAAGTTTTCTAATAATCAATTATAACTATATATTTTTAATTGAACTCATATAAAATTTAGTAGCAATTATAATCAGCAATATCTTTCAGCAAATCTGTATATACATATTTTTAAGTTGGCGTGTCAATATTTCCTTTGCAAATATGGGATTAAAATTTTTCCCACATCTCTGCCAACAATAAGTGTTATTGCTCTTTTCATTTTTTGTCAGCCTGACTAATTAATGTTAGTGCTATTTATTTATTCTTGTTTTAATTTTAATTTCAGTTAACATACAGTGTTATATTAATTTCAGGTGTGCCATATAGTGATTCAACACTTCCATACAACACCAGGTGCTCATCACAAGTGCATTCCTCAGTCCTCATCATCTGTTTAACCCATCCCCTTACCCACCTCCCCTCTGATAATCATCAGTTTGTTCTCTATAGTTAAGAGTCTGTTTCTTAGTTTGCCTCTCCCTCTTTTCTTTCCTATGCTCATTAGTTTTGTTTTCTAAATTCCACATATGAGTGAAATCATATGGTATTTGTCTTTCTCTGACTGACTTATTTCCCTTAGCATAATATTCTCGAGCTCCATCCATGTCATTGCAAATGGCAAGATTTCATTCTTTTATATGGCTGAGTGTATATATATATATATATATACATATATATGTATATACATACACTCATATACCACTTCCTCTTTATCTGTTCATCAGTTGATGGGCAATTGGACTTTTTCCATAATTTGGCTATTGTACATAATGTTGCTGTAAATATTGGGGTGTATGTATCCCTTTGAATTAGTATTTTTGTATTCCTTGGGTAAATACCTAGTGCAATTGCTGGATCATAGGGTAGTCCTATTTTTACCTTTTTTGAGGAAACTCCATACTGTTTTCCAGAGTGGCTGCACCACTTTGCATTCCCATCAACCGTGCAAAAGAGTTCCCCTTTCTCCACATCCTCGCAAACACGTTGTTTCTTGTGTTGTTGATATTAGTCATTCTGACAGGTGTGAGGTGATATCTTATTGTAGTTTTGATCCTACTTCCCTGATGATGAGCAATGTTGAGTACATTTTCTTCCTTTTTTTTTTTTTAAAGTTTTGAGTAACTTTTCATGTGTCTGTGGCCATCTGTATATATTGTTTGGAAAAATGTCTATGCATGTCTTGAGCTCATGTTTTTCTCTTTTAATTTTGATGTTATTTTATTATCTTATGTTAATCACCATACGTTACGTCATTAGTTTTTGATGTAGTGTTCCATGATTCATTGTTTGCGTATAACATCCAGTGCTCCATTCAGTTCGTGCCCTATTTAATACCCATCACCAGGCTAACCCATCCCCCCATGCCCCTCCCCTCTAGAACCCTCAGTTTGTTTCTCAGAGTCCATAATCTCTCATGGTTCATCTCTCCCTCTGATTCCCCCCCCCTTCATTTTTCCTTTCCTAATATCTTCTTCCTTTTTTCATTTTAACATATAATGTATTATTTGTTTCAGAGGTACATGCCTGTGATTGAACAGTCTTACACAATTCACAGCGCTCACCATAGCACATACCCTCCCCACTGTCTATCACCCAGCCACCCCATCCCGCTCACCCCCCACCATTCCAGCAACCCTCAGTTTGGTTCCTGAGATTAAGAATTCCCCATATCAGTGAGATCATATGATACATGTCTTTCTCTGATTGACTTATTTCACTCAGCATAATACCCTCCAGTTCCATCCATGTCTTTGCAAATGGCAAGATTTCATTCCTTTTGATGGCTGTATAATATTCCATTGTATGTATATGCCACATCTTCTTTATCCATTCATCTGTCGATGGACATCTTGGCTCTTTCCACGGTTTGGCTATTGTGGACATTGCTGCTATAAACATCAGACTACATGAACCCCTTTGGATCCCTACATTTGTATCTTTTGGGAAAATACCCAGTAGTACAATTGCTGGGTCATATGGTAGCTCTATTTTCAACTTTTTGAGGAACCTCCATACTGTTTTCCAGAGTGGATGCACCAGCTTGCATTCCCACCAACAGTGGGGGAGGGTTCCCCTTTTTCCACATCCCCGCCAACATCTGTTGATTCCTGACTTGTTAATTTTAGCCATTCTGACAGGTGTGAGGTGGTATCTCATTGAGGTTTTGATTTGGGTTTCCCTGATGCCGAGCGAGGTTGAGCACTTTTTCATGTGTCTGTTGGCCATTTGGATGTCTTCTTTGGAAAAATGTCTGTTCATGTCTTCTGCCCATTTCTTGA